GTTGTTCTGTATACGTGAGTGATAACACTAACACACACACTGTTGCATGCAGAGATAGTGTACCTTTATTCGGAGCATGTGAACACGCTCGTAAAAGGCTACCTCCTCAACCAGCGAACCAGGTTGCTAAAGGTTTGATGATTTTGGGGCCCCATCCTCAAGTCAGCACCTAGGTTCAGTCAATCATATTGTGGAACTGGCAATTGTGGAGGTGACGTGGACACCACTCACATTCTCATCCTTGTCATTTTCACCCAGCTGCTGGTTGAACACGGTTGTCCATTATGTCTCCAGGTTGTGTCTTTGCAAACCATACCACGGGCGGGGATAGAACCCGCGATCAGAGTGTCTCAAAACTCCAGACCGTCGCGTTAGCCACGGACGGTCTGGAGTTTTGAGAGACTGATTGCGGGTTCTATCCCCGCCCATGGTAGGGTTTATTTGCAATCGTGTCATTACGATTTCGTGAGTCTCGTTGTGTCTTTGCCTTTGATTAACTGTGTACACATAATTTCCAACTGTATACAGTGTACATACTTGTAAGTACTTTTAATCGTTCTTGGTGAAGGAAAATACAATTCAAAGTCATTCAGTAGTTTGTTCTGCTCCTTGCTCCCCTTTACACCCAGGATAACAGGCCTTATTGTTAAACCATACCCCCGGCCGGGATTGAACCCGCGGTCATAGAGTCTCAAAACTCCAGCCCGTGGGTATGGTATATTTGCAATCGTGTCATTACGATTTCTTAAGTCAGGCCTTATTGTTCCTGGGTTGTAACACACATACACCAGAGCAAACGGGTTAAATTATACCAACATTCTCTCCCAGTCCACAGCAGCATTCGAGCCTGCACACCCTGCATCAAGGTACACAGTACTTAAACCACTCAGATCCCATATATTTGCATACATGTGAGTGAGGCATCAACACAAGGACACAGTTAGTATTCACAATGAAGAATTATCAGCCTGTGGTACCTGGAACAGTACCAGTTGCAGTGTTGTCCTCACACAGGACTCTCCACACCTGTGGTACCTGGAACAGTACCAGCTGCAGTGTTGTCCTCACACAGGACTCTCCACACCTGTGGTACCTGGAACAGTACCAGCTGCAGTGTTGACCTCACACAGGACTCTCCACACCTGTGGTACCTGGAACAGTACCAGCTGCAGTGTTCTCAAACAGGACTCTCCACACCTGTGGTACCTGGAACAGTACCAGCTGCAGTGTTGTCCTCACACAGGACTCTCCACACCTGTGGTACCTGGAACAGTACCAGCTGCAGTGTTGTCCTCACACAGGACTACACACCTGTGGTACCTGGAACAGTACCAGCTGCAGTGTTGTCCTCACACAGGACTACACACCTGTGGTACCTGGTACAGTATCAGCTGCAGTGTTGTCCTCACACAGGACTACACACCTGTGGAACCTGGAACAGTGCCAGCTGCAGTGTTGTCCCCACACAGGACTCTCCACACCTGTGGTACCTGGAACAGTACCGGCTGCAGTGTTCTCCTCACACAGGACTCTACACCTGTGGTACCTGGAACAGTACCAGCTGCAGTGTTGTCCTCACACAGGACTCTCCACACCTGTGGTACCTGGAACAGTACCAGATGCAGTGTTGTCCTCACACAGGACTCTCCACACCTGTGGTACCTAGAACAGTACCAGCTGCAGTGTTGTCCTCACACAGGACTACACACCTGTGGTACCTGGAACAGCACCAGCCACAGTGTTGTCCTCACACAGGACTACACACCTGTGGTACCTGGAACAGTACCAGCTGCAGTGTTGTCACCACATACCCATCCTGTGGGCGGTAGTCACCACATACCCATCCTGTGGGCAGTAGTCACCACATACCCATCCTGTGGGTGGTAGTCACCCCATACCCATCCTGTGGGCGGTAGTCACCACATACCCATCCTGTGGGTGGTAGTCACCACATACCCATCCTGTGGGCGGTAGTCACCACATACCCATCCTGTGGGCAGTAGTCACCACATACCCATCCTGTGGGCGGTAGTCACCACATACCCATCCTGTGGGTGGTAGTCACCACATACCCATCCTGTGGGTGGTAGTCACCACATATCCATCCTGTGGGTGGTAGTCACCACATACCCATCCTGTGGGTGGTAGTCACCACATACCCATCCTGTGGGTGGTAGTCACCACATACCCATCCTGTGGGTGGTAGTCACCACATACCCATCCTGTGGGCGGTAGTCACCACATACCCATCCTGTGGGTGGTAGTCACCACATACCCATCCTGTGGGCGGTAGTCACCACATACCCATCCTGTGGGTGGTAGTCACCCCATACCCATCCTGTGGGTGGTAGTCACCCCATACCCATCCTGTGGGTGGTAGTCACCCCATACCCATTCTGTGGGTGGTAGTCACCCCATACCCATCCTGTGGGTGGTAGTCACCCTATACCCATCCTGTGGGTGGTAGTCACCCTATACCCATCCTGTGGGTGGTAGTCACCACATACCCATCCTGTGATCCACCATGGAAGCCTGGTCAGGGCCTGAGACGAGGGCATCGACCCCTGACACATCCTACAGATTAACAATACCATATTAGAAGCACTCACAGAAACACACACAGAATTTAGGATCAACTATACACTGGCAATAAATCTATATATTCAGTACAGTGAAAAAAAAAAAAAAGGGTGGACGAGGAGCTTAAAAAGTGGTCAGTAAATTACAGTACGATGCTCCACAGTTACGACCACCAGTGCTTCAGGAAACTACAAGATTTGACAATATAAACAGTCTAAGAACAGTTACAATATAATCCACCATGAGGCCTGGTCACAGACCGGGCCGTGGGGGCGTTGATCCCAGAAACCCTCTCCAGGTATATTGACTGGAACATAAGAACGTAAGAAAGAAGGAACATTGCAACAGGCCTACTGACCCATGCGGAGCAGGTCCATGTCCCCCCCCCCCCCGGATTAGACCAATGACCCACCCAGTCTGGTCATCTCCACTCAAGGATGGAGCACTGTACCAGACCCAGCAGCACAAGCTAGTCAGGTCCAACTCACACCCACCCACACCCACTCATGTATTTATCTAACCTATTTTTAAAACTACACAACGTTTTAGCCTCAATAACTGTACTCGGGAGTTTGTTCCACTCATCCACAACTCTTACCAAACCAGTGCTTTCCTATATCCTTCCTGAATCTGAATTTTTCCAACTTGAAGCCATTGCTGCGAGTCCTGTCTTGGCTGGAAATTTTCAGGACACTGATGATAAATTAGACACATGTGCAACTCTTGGGTATCTTTATTGAGGAAACGTTTCGCCACACAGTGGCTTCATCAGTCCATACAAAGGAGAATCTTGAAAAACAGGAGGAGAATGAGGTAATCAGTCCCTCAACCTTGAGTCGATGTGGTCAGTCCATCAATCTTTCCATCACTTTCAGCACACTATTTACATATACGCAAACAACCCGAACATGTGTACGAATGGTATATAATACCGACAAGATGAGATTAAGACACATGTGCAACATCTGGGTATCTTTATTGTAGACGTTTCGCCATCCAGTGGCTTTATCAATACAAATTCTAGGACATAACTTGAAGACAGTACATAACCTTCACGACTACGACAACTACTACTACAAGTAACCCATCTCTTTGGGATGGACCTACTTCCACTCTGGAATCCCGCCTACCAGTGACTATGCCCTCGTCTGCTACACCTGACGTTACTATATAAGCGCCAGGCTCCTTGCTTCTGTTTCAGAATCTCCACCACTATGGTGCTCTTCGCACCTACTCCTTGGTTGAGGGACTGATTACCTCATCTTCTGTACATAGTTCTGTCTTCAAGTTATGTCCTAGAATTTGTATTGATAAAGCCACTGGATGGCGAAACGTGTACAATAAAGATACCCAGATGTTGCACATGTGTCTTAATCTCATCAACCCGAACATAGGAGAGAGACGTTTAGGTCCCACTTGTGAGAGTCATTCGTGCATTAAGTTAATTCCGTCAGTCCCAGGAATATCAGACTAGCACAAGTTCTCAGGAACTGAAGGAGGAAATACTGAGCAGTTTACACGCACAACACTAACCTCTGTTTTATTCTCAGAATCTTCTCTACTCCCGGAGCCCGGTCATGGGCCAGGCTCGTCTGGTGTCTGCCTGGTCAATTATGTTGTTGATGCTGGTGGTCTACTGTCCCTACACTTGTTCCAGCAGTTTTTCTTCTTGAAGACTTGTACACTTGTTCCAGCAGTGTTTCTTCTTGAAGACTTGTACACTTGTTCAGGCAGTGTTTCTCCTTGAAGACTTGTACACTTGTTCCAGCAGTGTTTCTTCTTGAAGACTTGTACACTTGTTCCAGCAGTGTTTCTTCTTGAAGACTTGTACACTTGTTCCAGCAGTGTTTCTTCTTGAAGACTTGTACACTTGTTCCAGCAGTGTTTCTTCTTGAAGACTTGTACACTTGTTCCAGCAGTGTTTCTTCTTGAAGACTTGTACACTTGTTCCAGCAGTGTTTCTTCTTGAAGACTTGTACACTTGTTCCAGCAGTGTTTCTTCTTGAAGACTTGTACACTTGTTCCAGCAGTGTTTCTTCTTGAAGACTTGTACACTTGTTCCAGCAGTGTTTCTTCTTGAAGACTTGTACACTTGTTCCAGCAGTGTTTCTTCTTGAAGACTTGTACACTTGTTCCAGCAGTGTTTCTTGAAGACTTGTACACTTGTTCCAGCAGTGTTTCTTCTTGAAGACTTGTACACTTGTTCCAGCAGTGTTTCTTCTTGAAGACTTGTACACTTGTTCCAGCAGTGTTTCTTCTTGAAGACTTGTACACTTGTTCCAGCAGTGTTTCTTCTTGAAGACTTGTACACTTGTTCCAGCAGTGTTTCTTCTTGAAGACTTGTACACTTGTTCCAGCAGTGTTTCTTCTTGAAGACTTGTACACTTGTTCCAGCAGTGTTTCTTCTTGAAGACTTGTACACTTGTTCCAGCAGTGTTTCTTCTTGAAGACTTGTACACTTGTTCCAGCAGTGTTTCTTCTTGAAGACTTGTACACTTGTTCCAGCAGTGTTTCTTCTTGAAGACTTGTACACTTGTTCCAGCAGTGTTTTCTTCTTGAAGACTTGTACACTTGTTCCAGCAGTGTTTCTTGAAGACTTGTACACTTGTTCCAGCAGTGTTTCTTCTTGAAGACTTGTACACTTGTTCCAGCAGTGTTTCTTCTTGAAGACTTGTACACTTGTTCCAGCAGTGTTTCTTCTTGAAGACTTGTACACTTGTTCCAGCAGTGTTTCTTCTTGAAGACTTGTACACTTGTTCCAGCAGTGTTTCTTCTTGAAGACTTGTACACTTGTTCCAGCAGTGTTTCTTCTTGAAGACTTGTACACTTGTTCCAGCAGTGTTTCTTCTTGAAGACTTGTACACTTGTTCCAGCAGTGTTTCTTCTTGAAGACTTGTACACTTGTTCCAGCAGTGTTTCTTCTTGAAGACTTGTACACTTGTTCCAGCAGTGTTTCTTCTTGAAGACTTGTACACTTGTTCCAGCAGTGTTTCTTCTTGAAGACTTGTACACTTGTTCCAGCAGTGTTTCTTCTTGAGACTTGAACACTTTTCCACATTGTTCTTCTAAGACTGTACACTGTTAGCAGTTTTCTTCTTGAAGACTTGTACACTTGTTCCAGCAGTGTTTCTTCTTGAAGACTTGTACACTTGTTCCAGCAGTGTTTCTTCTTGAAGACTTGTACACTTGTTCCAGCAGTGTTTCTTCTTGAAGACTTGTACACTTGTTCCAGCAGTGTTTCTTCTTAAAGACTTGTACACTTGTTCCAGCAGTGTTTCTTCTTAAAGACTTGTACACTTGTTCCAGCAGTGTTTCTTCTGAAGACTTGTACACTTGTTCCAGCAGTGTTTCTTGTACAAATCTTCAGAGAAGAAACTGGACAAGTATCTTCACCAGGTGCCAGATCAACCTTAGCTTCGAACTATAGACCAATAAACCTAACCTTCATAGTGGGAAAATTTATGGAATCAATAATTGCAGAGGCAGTTAGTAGCCACCTTGAAAAGCACAAATTAATCAACGAATCTCAGCATGATTTTACAAAAGGGGCGTTCCTGCCTTACGAATTAACTTTTTTCACTAAGGTATTTGAGAAGGTAGATCATGGTAATGAATATGATATTGTGCATATGGACTTCAGTAAGGTTTTTGACAGGGTCCCACATCAGAGACTATTGAGGAAAATTAAGGCACATGGAATAGGAGAAATTTTTTCCTGGATAGAGGCATGGTTGACAAATAGGCAGCAGAGAGTTTGCATAAATGGGGAGAAATCAGAGTGGGGAAGCGTCATGAGCGACTTCCACAGGGGTCAGTGTTGGGCCCCTTGTTGTTCACAATCTACATAAACGACATAGATGAGGGCATAAAGAGGGACATAAGCAAGTTTGCCGATGACACCAAAACAGGCCGTCGAATTCATTCTGACGAGGACATTAGAGCACTCCAGGAAGATTTGAATAGACTGATGCAGTGGTCGGAGAAGTGGCAGATGCAGTTTAATATTGACAAATGCAAAGTTCTAAATGCTGGACAGGAAAATAACCATGCCACATATAAACTAAATAATGTAGATCTTAATATTACGGATTGCGAAAAAGATTTAGTTCTGGTTAGCAGTAATCTGAAACCAAGACAACAGTGCATTAATGTTCGCAATAAAGCTAACAGAATCCTTGGCTTCATATCAAGAAGTATAAATAATAGGAGTCCTCAGGTTGTTCTTCAACTCTATATATCCTTGGTTAGGCCTCAATTAGACTATACTGCACAGTTTTGGTCACCGTATTACAGAATGGATATAAATGCACTGGAAAACATACAAAGGAGGATGACAAAGTTGATCCCATGTATCAGAGATCTTCCCTATGAGGATAGACTAAGGGCCCTGAATCTGCACTCTCTAGAAAGACGTAGAATTAGGGGGGATATGATTGAGGTGTATAAATGGAAGACAGGAATAAATAAAGGGGATGTAAATAGTGTGCTGAAAATATCTAGCCAAGACAGGACTCGCAGCAATGGTTTTAAGTTGGAAAAATTAAGATTCAGGAAGGATATAGGAAAGTACTGGTTTGGTAATAGAGTTGTGGATGAGTGGAACAAACTCCCAAGTACAGTTATAGAGGCTAAAACGTTGTGAAGTTTAAAAAATAGGTTAGATAAATACATGAGTGGGTGTGGGTGGGTGTGAGTTGGACCTGACTAGCTTGTGCTACTAGGTCAGTTGCCTTGTTCAAGTGAATGTGACCAGACCGTCTTCAAGAAGAAACACTGCTGGAACAAGTGTACAAGTCTTCAAGAAACACTGCTGGAACAAGTGTACAAGTCTTCAAGAAGAAACACTGCTGGAACAAGTGTACAAGTCTTCAAGAAGAAACACTGCTGGAACAAGTGTACAAGTCTTCAAGAAGAAACACTGCTGGAACAAGTGTACAAGTCTTCAAGAAGAAACACTGCTGGAACAAGTGTACAAGTCTTCAAGAAGAAACACT